TATATATATATATATAAACTTTTGAACCATATGTATTTTCTGACTCAGCTCGTCGACTTATGTCGGAATATAGCAAAATTTTTCAAAAGTTTTGTCATGAGGACCATTGCAATAGTTAGATTTCTATGAAATCTACTAAAAATAGCACAAACTAGGTATATGTCGTGAGTGAACTATCTTAAAAAAATTTCGACTAATAATTTTATTTAATTTTCACGTGAAGAATTTTCTTATATAAATTAATTTAGCAGATATTTAATAATACTAAGAATTTTATTAACAAAAAAATTATAGCAAACAAAATTAGAAAAAAAATTGACATTTAGAAATTTAAAAAAAATTAAAAATGCAACTTGTTTAAAAATAATTTTTTTTAACAAATTTTTAAGTGATTGTTAATTTTAATGTTATAATTTTTTAATTAAATTTTTTCATAATAATAATTTAATTCTTATAAAATTCATGATACTGAAATTAACAGATATCTAAAAACTCTTGAAATTTTTACGACAGATTAATTATTATAAAAAAAAATATTTTTAAAAATTGGAATTTTTTTGCTAAATTTAAATGACACTGAAATTAGCAGACGTCTAAAAAATTTTTGATTTTTTTCATTAATTAAATTACAACTAAAAAGATATTTCTAAGAAATTCGACTTATAGTTTTATAAGTTTTTTTCATGTGAATTTTTTTTTTTAATTTTTTAATTAAAATTTTTTCAGTAAAAAATTTCTAAAAATTTTGAAATGTCAGCTAACTTCATTTTCATAAATTTAATTATTTTAAAAATCTAAAAAATGCCTAGATGTCTGCTAAATTCAGTATTATAAAAATTCTAAAAAAATTTCTAATTTCTGTCAACTTCAGTGTCATAAAAAAGATACTTACTTATTCGTCCAGCAGCCATACAAGCGACACCAATCAAGAAAAACGTCCTGTTGCTCAGTTTTATAATGTCAGTGACAAAAGGAACGAAAAATCTTGCTAAAACGTCAATTCCACCTAACACAGACATCACTGTAGCAACCTGGGGCTTCTGGAGCCCGTATTCTGCCAAAATAAAGGGCGTCAACATGGCGAAGTTCATCTCTACGAAGTTCGCTAAGCTTATTCCCATAATTATGTTGAGGAAAACATGGTCCCGAAGGAGATCAAAGTCGAAGAATACTACGACGGAGTCAAGAAATTTTTTTAAGCAAGATTTTTTCTGAAAATTAAGATAGATTAGTTTTTTAATTTCTGGGAAAGAAATTTAGTTAAGTCCCTTACCGGCTATTTCTCACCTCCGATGGATCCATTTCGAATATTGGCTCTACTTCTTTTTCTATATTCGTTCCAAGGATAATTTCGGTTACTACTATTAATGGAATTGGTTGTTCGACGAATTTATCTTTGTTCGAGTCGTTTTCGCTGAAAATTTAAAAATTTTTTTTCAATTTTTGTGGTAACTAGGTGCGCTCTTTGTTATCGACTGCTAGAATGGTGGGTATATATGAAGTTTGTTATAGTTCACAAAATTCTCACCGCGGTACTTTACACAGAGAATAAATAATGGAATGATAGGTGATTGTTATCTAAATGGGAGATGATAACTGAAGTCAACAATCTTCTGAGAATTTTTATAACAAATCAATTATGATAAAAAAAATATTTTTTTTAATTTGCTCTTATATTTCTTTTTTTATATCTATGACATAGAAGTCGAGAGATAGTAGAAATTTTTTTAGAATTTTTAAGCTATTAAATTATTATGAAAAAAAATTTAATTAAGAAATTCCATACGTGAAAATTGAAAAAATTATTAGTGAAGATTTTTAGAAGCAATTTTTTTTATTGTCATTGATTTGTTATAAAATTTTTTTAATTATTAAATATATATGCTAAATTAATTTTCATCAATTTTTTTGGTAACTTTTTTTAAATTTTTATGAATTAAAAATTTTTTTTTTAGTTAACGAGAAAGCTAAGAAAACTATAAGTGTCAAAAACATGTCAGGAAAAATGAATTTAAAAAAAAGTATTCTGACACCCTGCAAGACTCAAAAAATGAAGACATGAAAATTCTTATAATATTAAAATATTAGCCGACGCTCAAGAGTTTTGATCTTTATCAATTAAATTATAAGTACAAAAATACTTAAAAAAATGCACCTATAATTTTTCAAATCTTCATGCGAAATTTTTTCAATCAAAAAAAAAAACATTATTAAAATTTTCAGTCGACTAATTTTATTTTCATGTATTCTTGCATCAATTCTCAAAAATTTTTAACATGTTTCTTCAGAGAAACAAATTAAATGGATAAATTTTTTAAAAATCTAAAAAAAAAGTAAATCATATTTAAAAATTGAAATTTTTCTGAATTACCTGTTTTTGATATTCTCATTGTTCAGTGTCACAACACTAGAATTTTTACTAGAAATCACAGAAATCCTCATCGGCCTTGAATTTTCATCGTGATTTCTATTCGACAAAGAAGTTACAGAAGTATGTTTCTTCGAAAACCTAAAAATTGACAAAGGAACCAATGAAGTCGCCACAAAAAAAAAAAAAAAAAATAAACTTAATGACACTAAAATTATCAGACACTTGATAATTTTTTTATTTCCCTGATTCAGAAAGATGACTTGAATTGATTACCTTCATGTTAATTGTATGTCTATATAGTATTTAAATCCTATGGATTTAAATCATTTCAAATTAGATTTATTAATCAGGGTTATCTTCTAAAATCATTATTTAAAAAAATTGTATTTTTAATTTTTTAGAGCTTCTAAAGATAGAATTCTTTTAGTATATTTTTCTTGCTACACAAGAAGAAAAATTTCTTGACTGGACAACAAAATTCTTGGCCCAAGAAAATTTTCAGGTGCCTGAAGGAAGACCGAAGTTGTGTTGGCCGAAATAAAAATTTTTCTTGAAATTCTATTCTTGGTGAAAGTAATTTTTTCTTGATTCAAATTATCATAAATACTTGATACAATAAATTTTTATATTTGATCAAGATTTTTAGGTACTTTAGGGAAGCAGCGCCACCTACTTCAGCTGAGAAAATAATTTTCTCTCCTTGAGAAAATTTTTCTCTTGAATATTTGATACCCATTTTATATTATTTTAGCGTGCAATTATACATATTGAATAAAAAAAAATGATTCAATATTATTTGATCTTCCCATTTGACATGTTAATCAATAAAAATCTTAATGAAAATTTACTTCTATCGAGATATTTAATTTTTTGGATCAAGAGAGAAATTTTCTCAAGACAAGAAAATTTACTTCTATCAGGAACTAAATTTTTTGGAGCAAGAGGCTGAATTTTCTCAAAATAAGAAGATTTTTTTGACTTAAATAAATTTTCTTGGATCAAGATACGTATTTCTTAAAGCAAGAGAATTAATTTTGTTAGAATAAGTGAAAAATTTTTTTTTTTAGCTCAAGAAAATAATTAGGAAGAAAAATATTTTCTTGGCTCAAGTAAAATTTTTTTTCTGTATATAATTTATTTGTTAAAAAAATTATCAAATGTCTCTGAAAATCATTTTCAGTATCATCTTAACTTACCATCCGTCATTAGAACGTGACATCATCGGCGTTCCAGGATCAACAACGTCAATTCTTTCAACTTCATCGTCATAGTAAAGAAACCGGCTTCCAAATTTACTAATTCTTCTTTCCGGAATTTTGTTCTTAAGTTTATCGTCCAGCAGTTCTTTCTCTTCCGGTTCCTTGGTGGCTTTTTTTGCATGCCACATGACTGGTTGCAGAAGTAACGCGCATGCAACTGCATTCATGCAAATTCCGCTTAGAATAAGCAGAGTTCCGGGAACTCCAAAAATTGGCATCAAAGCCGTGATCAGCTACGTTAAAAAACAGTCAATTAATTAATTAATTATAAATCAAACAGCTGGAGATGGCTAGTTTAATTTAAAATTGTACGCATACTTGAGGCATTATTATTGGTCCTAATCCAGTACAAGTCCAAGTAAAACCAACTGCTATTTTTCTTTTAACTTTAAAGTATGTGTTTAACGCTAGAGCGTTTGCTGACATTGTTATTCCTAATCCACCAGCTTGATTATCGATTATAGATATGAAGTAAGTTAATAATATTAATTATCAATTATTTTACATATCAGTATTACATTTTAAGGAGTTACATGGGTTTCTTCCGGGAAGAAATGGCCTATTTTTTAAGAATTTTTTTTTAATATAAAAAATGAAATATTTAATTCAAACTTTTTACTGTCTTAAAGATACATATTTAATAACTGATTATTGCAATTTTTGAAAAAAAAATATTAAAAACTCTGCCATTTTGACGTCATTTCCGACGAGTCCTTGGAAAAGAGATGCGTCCGTAAAAAAAAAAATACGTGCATAGTTAAGATTTTAAACTAAAATTTGGACAAAGGAAAAAAAATGAAAATTGGATTTTTGGCAGAGGTTTTGACGAAAAAATAAAAAATTTGGTTAAAATTTCACGGCATTTTTTTTTTTTAATAGTTGTAATTGAAAAAAAAAAATCTTTTGTCCAAGTCCTTGTAAATTGTATCTCGGAGACCTGTCTAAAATTTCATTAAGATCGGTTGAGTAGTACTCGAGAAATCTTGACACGTTCAAAATTTTGACAAATTGTGACTCAAAGTTTTGAGTCACAATGAAACAGCGTCTTGAGCGCGCAACTTTTTAATTAAAACTGTATCTCCATAATTATTACTCGGATTGACTTGAAACTTCGGGACAATATTCTAGAGATATTATAGAATTTGTTAAGACAAAATAAAAAAAATCGATTTTTTGAAACCATGAAACCCACACTGTTAAAAATTTTTGTAAAATTACAATCATATTACAAAACAAATGATATGTAAAATTACAAATCCGAACAAAAACAGTTTCACTGTAAATAAATAATAGTTTAAAAAAACTAAAAACACGCTTTTTATAGAAAATCAAACTAAAAAATAGAAAATAAATTTTAATAAATTTAAATTAAGAATAGTGTTAAAAATTTCAATGAATATTAATTAATAATAGTGTGAATAAAAAAAAATTATTTGCGATTTTTTTTAGAGTGAAACTGTTTTTGTTCGGATTTTAGTATTTTTTGTAATTATAATAAAAATTTACAATTGGTACCAACTTAAATCTCGCGTTGGCTGCATTTTTTTATAGCAAACTGTTCCCTTGAAGCTACAGTTTATGTAAAAATAATTCCAGCGCACTCTGGCGGGTGTAGATGCAAGCTGTGAAATATCTTTTTTTAACTGTAGTTTCCCATCTAATGAAGGATTACTATGCATTCTCGAATTATTTAGTCTGTAGCAGATCACTTTGCCCATCGAAAAAAAGTCAGGATCGAAATTTTTGCGTTGCTATAGTTTGTGCTGATCAAATTTAGTAATTTCAAGTAGATTAATTGTTATAAGTGAATATAATTAATTAATAACAGTAAAAAAGGGCGCGCAGTAGCCTATCGGATCCGGCCCTTGCTTACCAAAGCATTGGACCGGGTTCGAGTCCGGCGTACACCAATGAATATTTTCAATATTTAAGTGTATTATACTGCTCAGCCCAAAAAATAAAACGAGTTCCAATCTCAAAAGTTTACCCCCTACCGTAGTCGCTCATGACCTTAGTAGTTTATGCGACTTTAAACAAATTAAGAAAAAAAAAAAAATAACAGTAAAATAAAGTATGAATTACTGTTATAATATACAATTTAGGAAAAAAAAGTACCGTAGAATTAAATAAAATTTTGCAACTTCAAAATACCGTTCTGCTTACAGTAAACACAGTCGGTAGTCTGGCGCTCCGTTGACAACGGATTTGAACGGAACTTGGCGTCAGATTCTACCGAATCTGTGGATCAGTGTATAGCAATGCGAAATAAAATACAATTCATGTAATTTTCCAACACCTGTCAGGAAATCTACTAAGATGTTTTGTAATTTTACAATCTTCTTGTATAAACCTAAAACGCATTGTAATATTACAGAACCGTTGGTCAATTTTTAAGAAAAAGCTTTTTAATTTTGCAAACATTATTTGTGATTTGATTCGACATAATTGTATGTAGAATTACAAAAAAATATTGTAATTTATATTACAATAATCTTATAAAAAATTTAAAAAACTTTTTTTTATTTTTACAATTTTCATTGTGAAATGACACAGTGCAATGTAATGTTACCAGAAATTTTTTTTTATATTACACGAATTGTAATTCTACCCGATTGTAATTTTAAATAAATGTTTTGTCTATTAGCTTCCAATACATTTCTTGTAAAATTACAATAGAAATTTTTAACAGTGCATGTAACCCCTTAACGTATGTATTTTTATTTGTTTCAGTAAAAGAAAGTAAGAGAAGGTTATTACCGTAGAGAATACCAAAGAAGATAAGAATTCCCGTGAAAGATGTAAGTGTTGATAGAATTGCTATTGATATTGAAGTTACTAGTGCGCCAATTATTGATACTTTTCTAAATGTGTATTTTCTAAATATTGGGCCATTTGCTAAACCTATTAAATTTTTTTTTTATTATTATCAATAACAATGCTTTTAAAATAAGTCATATAATTAAAAAAAAAAAAAATTGAAAAATTATCAAAGAAGAAATGAAAATATTGAAATATCAGTTAATTATCTAAGAACAAAACAATTGCGCAGCAATAATAAACAATTAGTAAATCATTTACATGATAGTTGAGAAACATTGAATAACAATGAGACGGCATCGTATGTTTTGATAACAATCGACCTAGATCGTATTAAATTTATCAAGTATTTATTCTTGTTAGTGATAATAAGCAATGCTAATGCCAATACTGATGTATATTTTACATATAACATATGATATTTCTAAGTTTAGAATTATTCTGCAAACTTATAATAAGTGTCATAAATATTAGATTGCGTTACAAATGTTTGTCGATTTCATTTTCATTGATGTTTTCAAGATTTTTTTTTTCTAAGTTAATTTTATATTAAAAATATGCAGTGAAGAGTATAATATATTTTTATCAGATAAAAATGATTGATCTTGATAAAATAATATTTATTATTTATTTTTTTTTTTTACCTATCAGAGCAATCATTGCCAGGTTAACGTTTAAGATTATTGTAGTTTCTGAAGAAGATATTCCAAGTTGTTTCAATCGATCCCGAAATAATAAACCGAATGATTGTACTAATGCCAATAAACAAAACTAAAAAAAAATTAATAATAATAATAATAATAATTATGTGAATTTAAGATCGGTGTTTTTACTCAATAAAGAGATAGGTATACTTGGGCTAAAAATAATAACTATCTTTTTATTAAATAATAATAACTAGCAACCTTACAGTCACTATGTGACTGCCGTGACTTGTGAACTATAAATAAATAAAATTTTGCTTTATTAAATAATGACTTTTGTTAAATTGCACTGTACTTTTTTAATTATTGACGTTTTTAAAGATATAAGCTCATCCCGATGTTACACTCATCAAGAGCTTTCATTTAAGTACCCACATGCATTTTGATATATTTTTCATATATTCATATATATAATATATATAAATATATGAAAAAATGATGTGGGTACTTAAATGAAAGGTCTTGATGAGTGTAACATCGGAATGAGCTTAGATCTTTAAAAATGTCAATAGTTCACAAGATACAAGGTCATTTCTTAATTATGTATCTACCCTGGCGGATAGAGCACACGGAAAAAAATAAATAATAAATGCAACGTGATACAATCTTGGTAAATGAACATGATAAAATCATGTTGCAGCCACATGATTTGTCATGTTTCGGCTACATGACAATCATGTTGTGGTAGCATGAGAAAAATCATGTGGCAGCAACATGATTTGTCATGTTTCGGCTACATAACAATCATGTTCCGATAGCATGAGAAAAATTATGTGGCAGCAACATGATTTTCATGTAGCCTTATTAGCACAAAATTAAGCTGCAACAATTAAATATTTATGTTTAAGAAACATTATTTATTCTAAAGTAACTAGGTTTTTAAGATTTATAATATTGCAGATGAAAATAAGAGTAAATTATTGAATTATACAATTTGTCAACGAATTTTAATTTTTTATTTTAAAGTCAAATTTTTAGAATTGTTTAAAGATGGAATTTTTATTATTATTATTATTATTATTATTATCTATATTATTAAGAGAATAAGCAAAATTTTGCGGCCAGTGTATTTATGTGATAAAATGAGTTTTTATGGTTAAATTTGGTATCGTTAGAAAAGTCTTGACCTGGAGTTGTGCCTTTTCATGGTTTCATATCATTCTCCCCGATAGTCAATTTATGATGATAAGTATGCTGCATTCGAAAATGCACGGAAAAAAATAAATAGTAAATGCAACATGATGCAGTCTTGGTAAATAAACATGATGAAATCATGTTGCAGCCACATGATTTGTCATGTTTCGGCTACATAACAATCATGTTGCGGTAACATGAGAAAAATCATGTGGCAGCAACATGATTTGTCATGTTTCGGATACATGACAATCATGTTGCTGCCACATGATTTTTCTCATGTTACCGCAACATGATTGTTATGTAGCCGAAACATGACAAATCATGTGGCTGCAACATGATTTCATCATGTTTATTTACCAAGACTGCATCATGTTGCATTTACTATTTATTTTTTTCCGTGCATTTTCGAATGCAGCATACTTATCATCATAAATTGACTATCGGGGAGAATGATATGAAACCATGAAAAGGCACAACTCCAGGTCAAGACTTTTCTAACGATACCAAATTTAACCATAAAAACTCATTTTATCACATAAATACACTGGCCGCAAAATTTTGCTTATTCTCTTAATAATATAGATAATAATAATAATAATAATAATAATAAAAATTCCATCTTTAAACAATTCTAAAAATTTGACTTTAAAATAAAAAATTAAAATTTTTTATTTTAAATGTTGTGGTGAAAAAAATAATAATAAAAATTGAATAGTCTTTAAATCGGATCGGGTACTTTGGCTAAAATAATAACTAACTCCTTATTATTAAGTAAAAACACCGATCTTCACATCACATATATTGGAGACAATAATAATTATAATAATAATAACAAAAATAAAAATTTTATACTTACATTAGAAAATCCACAAGCAAAAATAATTACCCAACCCCACCCTCCATCAGGTGGTAAAAAATTATCTTTCAATGTATTTTTAGGTTTTTTAAAATGATTATTTTTAAGCTGCATTTTAGCTTAATGAATAATTTTTTTATTAATTTAAAGTAATAATTTTTTTTTAATATTTACGCATTAGATAGCTTCACAAAAAAATATTTACATCAACAAGAGTTAACGTGATGAGTTGAATGTAAGAACTGAGAGTGGTAATGATAGTTTAAAGATTATACATATTTTTAAAGCACGTTGCTTATCATACACTCAATAAAATCCAGGCACTCATGCACAATGAATTACGTTGGATATAAATTTTTTGTTATTGATTGATTGCTTGTTTATTAGTATTTATTATATCTTTAAATAATTTATTTATCTATCTCTTTATTTATCAACTGGACTCACGAGTGATTGATGAATTGTTTTATTGAAATTGCTCGAAGTTCCAATGAAAGTACTAAAATATTCAACTGGTAAATTATTGCTAATGTTTATAATGTTACCGGAGATTTAGAAACTACCGACTAGACTGGATAAAAGTTGTTAACAATCTTGTAGATGTATGACTAGTTTGCGCTAAGGCTACTGATGGTGAAAGTTATTTATTTACGGAACACGGTTACTCTGACATGCACATATTTTATATTATCCTTTCTGTTTTGTTACGGAAAATTCTCTAACTAACATTTTCTAATTTTTTAAAAATTACAAAAAAACAAAATTTTTGATAAAAAAAAATTTTTCAAGCCAAGTATTAATAAAATATTTTATTAAATAATTAGATTAAAAACAAAAATATAAAATAAAAACAAACATCATTTTTAACATTCAATCGATCAATTAACTAATTCATTTATATTCATAATAATAATAATAAATTAACTAACTAAAACTGGTTGATTTTCATTGCTATCTTTCCTCCTGCTTTTTACAGCAGACCAGCCAAATTCTAAACTCCAGCTTATGAAGCATATCACCACCAAAAAGTTCATCGCATGCAAGCAAATTCTGTAACTACCACTGTAGTCTCTGATGTATCCTAAAATTTGAAAAATAAATAAAAAATTTAATTGCAAACTGTAATAACACTTAAATTAGCAGACATTTAAAAATTTTTTTTTATTTATTAAACTAGAATTAAAAAAATATTTTTTTAAAATTGCATTAATAGTTTATCAAATCTTCTACAGGTGAAATTTTTCTTTTTATTTTTTTGTAATAATTTTTTAATAAAGATATTGGATTTAACAAACACTAAAAAATTTTTATGAAAATTGTTAGCCATCTAAAAATTTTTAGTATTTCTTTGTATTGAAAAAATTATTATAAAAAAATAAAAAAAAATTTTTATTTGTACAAAACTTGAAAAACCTTAAGTGCAATTTAAAAAAATTACTTTATAATTCTGATTTAATGAATGAAAAGAAGTTAAAAACGTCGACAATAATAAAGTTAACGGAATTTTTGATTTTGCTCAATTTATTAAATGGAAACTAAAAAATATTTTTTTTTTAAATTGTACTTGCAGTTCTTTAAATTTTTTACAATTGAAATTTTTTTTTAATAAGTTTTTCAATAAAAACAATTCTAGAAATTGAAAAAAAATTTCATTTGAAAAACTGTAAGCGCAATTTAAAAAAGGATATTTTTTAGTTCTAATTTAATGAATGAAACAAAATTGAAAAATCAAAAATATCGGCTAACTTTATTATTATAACTTTATTTTCATAAAACGTCGGCTAACTTTAGTATTGTCAATTTTTTAGATTTTTATAACAATTAAATTATAATGAAAATTATTTAGCAAAAAAAAAAATCTATATGTATAAATTAAAAAAAAATGAAAAGTGCAAATTTTTTTTAATATTTTTTTTTCTAATACTTGATTGGTTATAAAAATTCTAAAATTTATCAGATGTCTGCTAATTTCAGTATCACATTTAATAAGAAAAACTTTTTAAATTGTCATATGTCTGCTAATTATATTTTCATAAAAATAGCCTAAAATTACTTACCAACAATTGGACTTAATAAAAGCGAAGATACTCCTTTGAACACCATAAAAAATCCATAAGCGTGAGGTAAGCTTTTCAAAGAACACGTTTCTGAGACAGAGAGATTCAAATTTTGGATGACTGCTCCCCGAATAAATCCATTTACTACCAGGATTGCAAACAACCACATGCCTTTTGTTTGTTCCGCAAAAACTGCAAGCAGAAATTTATTTTATAATTTTTAGAGACACGGTAGTAACTTGAACCAAGAATGCGTTCTAATAAAGACACTGAAGTTAACTGATATTAAAGTTAGCAGTCACTTGACCATTTTTTAATTTTTTTTAACTAACAAATTTTTTCAAAAAAATTATTTAAAAAAAATTGCATTTTTAATTTTTACATGTCAATTTTTTTTTGCAATAATTTGTCACCAAAATTATTTAGCATTTTTTATTGGAATTGATTTGTTAGAAAAATAAAAAAAATTGACAATTGTCAGCTAACTTCAGTATCATCTTCCAATATTGTAAAAGAAGAGAAATAATAATAATAAAAAATTTACCAGATCTTCCAATTGCGAGGCAAAGCGCATTAACCCAAAAAAGACGTCGCTTCTTAAACCCAAACTTATCATAAATAACCGGTAGCATTAATCTCGAAAAGATGTCGGTGAATGCCGTCAATGATAAACAAAACGCAACTTCACCTTCAGTCATTCCTGTTAAAAAAGTATTAATTAGTCAATATTGATTAATTAATTAATAAATTATTTAAAATGAATTAATTATTTCAGATAATGTGTTTTAAATTTGTATTATGGAATACCAATGGTGTTACGCAAAAAAAATGGCGTAACCAACTTGAAGTTAACCTCAGAAACGGCAAAGAGACTCAGCCCGAAGATGACGTTCAAGTATGAAAAATTTTTTAGTAAGTCTAAGTTAAATATGTCAGTAAATGACTTGAGAAAATTCAGACACTCGTTTTCAGGTTTTGAGTCTAATTTACTCGGAGATTCATTCAGTGTCTTTTCCATCAGCGGCAGTTCTGTTTCGTCGGAAACTTTGCTCTTCATTTCTGTCTGTAAGAAATAAATAAATATTAATTCAAAGATTTACTATTAGAAAATTTTTGACTTACTTTGATAATCTTTTTAGGAGATTTTAGTGGCCGAAGTAAACAAGCTCCGACAATAGAATGCATCGTCCAGGCGCCGATTATCATCATGGTACCTTGGAAACCGTAGCGACCAAGTAAAAAGTGACTTGCCTTGTTAAAAAATTTTATTTTTAAATTAAAATTAATTTTGCAGATATTTGAAAATTAAAAAAAATTTTTTTAATTTTTAGAACAAATTTATTTGTTAATTAAAATTAAAAAATTGTCAAGTGACTGCTAACTTAGATTTGATAATTCTTTTAATTAATTCCGTAATTTTGATGATTTTTTTTAAATTGATTTCGTGATTTTGAAAATTAAAAAAAATTTTTTAATAAACGTATTTCGGCCCTTCTTTTTTAAACAATTTTTAAGCCGTAAAAGTTAGCTTAAATCTATTAAATTTATTATAAAGTTCACATGATTATCTTCAATTTAAACTATTATACGTCAACTTTCGATCCTTTTTTCAATTTATTTAGTAGTTGGGAAAATTTTTGAAAAATCAAGAAAAATAAATTAATTTTTAACTTTTATCATCAAATGACTTTCATCTGTTACAAATCCTATCTTTTAGGTAGATGTCTTTGAATATCTACATGTTGTAGTCGGTCTCATATCGTTATTTGCAAAAACATAATAAAAAATAAATTTTAGGACATTATTGCCTTTTAATAACAAGTTTTTTTCAATATTCAAACAAGAAATCTACCTATTCATGAATGGCTGAATGGCGCTTTTTCAATTTACCCTTATTAAAAAAAAAAAGATTCAAAACGATTCGAAATGGCTCGAAGCGATTAAAAACGATTCAACTTGACAAATACATAGATATACACAGAAAAAAGTAAACTGTAATAAATAACATTCGATTTATAATATGTAATGATCAACTGCTAAAAATTACCATTTCAAACAGCAAAATCGTGATTTTACTATTCACTTTATAATATTTACCATTTAAACGTTATAATTTACTCTTTAAATGGAAGAAAATACTATTTCAAACAGTAATATTCGCTATATAAATGTCTAAAATGTTTAAGTATAATAATTAAGAATTCAGACTTTGATATTTATCATTTCGTACCTAAAAAATGATATTACGATATGTAAAAAGTATAAAATAAAGTCAGTAAATTTCTAATACAAGCAACGTCAATATTTACAAAGTAAAATCGTAAATTTTAAATGCAACGCTAAAAATCAAACTGTAATTGTTGACTTGCTTGGACTGGTAAAATATATATTTTAAAATTATAATTTTTACTGTTTCAAATGTTAAATTCTCCCAGAGTGAGACCCCCTTCTCTTTCATCTGAGTTCCCCTTCTCCTTATAATATGGACTATATATTGAAATGGCAATTTTTACTGTTTGAAACTGTAATTTTTTAAGATGAAAGAGTCGCTATTTACTATAGTGACAACTACTAATCACTTATTTTGGATATTAAATTATAAATTGTGGCTTTTATACTTTCTATACATTAAGTTCTGTAATATTTATATTATTACCACCCTGATGTCCGTTTTACTGTTTGAAACTATAAAAATTAACCGGAATCCGAGTGAATATTACAGTTTACTTTTTTCCGTGTACATTTTGCATGGGTTGAATCGTTTTAAATCTTTTTTTTTTTTTTTTTTAAAAAAGGGTACTTCGTGACTCGAAAAATTTTGAAAAATTCATTAATAAACATGTTTTTAGCTTTTATCGTCTTACAATTTGTCAGCCGCATAAGAAAGCTGAAATCTATTAAATTATTCGTCAAATTTATACAATTATCTTTAACTTAAGCTATAATTCGTTGACTTTTTAATTTTTTAAAAATTTCTTTAGTGGCTTTGAAAATTTGAAAAATATTTCTATCTTCCCGAGAAAAAATGTTTCTATATAATCATATATAATTGTATATAATCATATATGATTATATATGGAATCACATATATAATTATATAGAATTATATATAATCATATATAATTATATATGACTATATATGACTATTATATATGACTATATATGGAGCGATATACAGCCATGCAGGATTATATATAGTTCCATATACAAATATATATAAGTATATAAAATTATATATAATCATACATGATTATATATGGAATTGTATATGAGGTTATATATAATTATATATGACTATATATAGAGCAATATACAGCCAAGCAAGATTATATATAATTATATATAGTTATATATAATCATACATGATTATATATGGAACTGTATATGAGGTCATATATAATTATATATGACTATATATAGAGCAACATACAGCCAAGCAAGATTATATATAATCATACATAATTATATATAATCATACATGATTATAAATGGAACTGTATATGAGGTCATATATAATCATATATAATTATATATAAGTATATATAATCATACATGATTATATATCGAATTGTATATGAGGTTATATATAATCATATATAATTATACATAACTATAAATGGAGCTATACACAGCCATGCAAGATTATATATAATCATACATGATTATAAATGGAACTGTATATGAGGTCATATATAATCATATATAATTATATAGAATTATATATAATCATATATAATTACATATAATCATACATGATTATATATGAAATTGTATATGAGGTTATTTATAATCATATACAATTATATATGACTATATATAGAGCAACATACAGCCAAGCAAGATTATATATAATCATACATAATTATATATAATCATACATGATTATAAATGGAACTGTATATGAGGTCATATATAATCATATATAATTATATAGAATTATATATAATCATATATAATTAAATATAATCATACATGATTATATATGAAATTGTATATGAGGTTATTTATAATCATATACAATTATATATGATTATATACAAACATTTTTTCTCGGGTAGTTAATTCAGTATCTAAATCAACAATTGTGTTAATAAGAGAATATATTTAATGAGAAAAAATTAACTAATACTTACCGCTACCAAAAGTTGAGAGATAATGTAACGGAGTGATCGTTACTCGGTAAATTCCCCATTTCGGTACCTAGTTAGTTATCGACTGCTCACAGTGCGCTGTGATCTAAAGCTCGTTTAGAGCTATTGAGAAAGGCCCCGAGGTGGAGAAGTTAGCGTAGTAGTAGTGGGGAGAGCAGAGGAAGCAAGAAAGGTTGAGCGAATTTGGTAAGACTCATTGTGACAGTGGCTCGACTGGACGACACGCAGATTTTCTAAAACATCCAGCTAAGGTAAATATTTTTATTCTGCTTGTCCAACGTGGAACGAAGCGATAATATTTTGTTAATTAATTGCTTGCTAGGCCGCCTGCCAGCTTGCGTAAATTAATCTTAATTGGTAATATTTTCTAATGCTGATTTGCGGTTACAGGCGTAATAAATAACCAGAGGGTGAGTGACGGTGACGAGAGATTGCCGCCAAATCGAGAATACCTGACCGAGGATAATTCACACCAGTACCCGAAGACGAGGAGTTGCAGTTCACCGTTGGAGTGCAGATTAAAATTATAAGAATACTCCAGGTACAAATAACGAGTCT